ACACACACACACACACACACACACACACACACACACACACACACACAAAGACACAGAGAGCGAGAGAGAGAGAGAGAGAGAAGAAAAAATAACAAACTTTACCATCACAGCCATTGGCAGCACTGGAAGCCCCTGTCCTAATGTCCCTCTCTATAAGTTTCAGCTGATGTTTCCCTACAGAATAAGCCCTTTGGGCTTAATTTAAAGTAGACACATGATTCAGGCACAGGAAATCTACAGTCCAGGGTAAAGTCACCAACATAAACATGGACTTCAGTGTGCACCTGGGTATACTTTTGCCAATGTTTGTTAGATTTTTTTATTTTTGCACTTAGTGATGTGTCTGTGTAGGTCAGAGGACAACTTGCAGGAGTTGGTTCTCTCCTTCCATCTTGGGGGGATTCTGGTTGTCAGACCATCTTGCTGGCCTTTAAATTATTTTTTCTTTTGTTTCATGTTGCTGGGTTTCAAGCTGTACCCCCGAGTTACACTCTCAGACCTCTTGGATGTTAAAATACATGTAAACATTAAAATTGGGAAGGAAGAGATAGACCTTTGGCCTATCCAGCTGTGTCACTGAGTCTCTTGGTGATGCCCTTAAGGGAAGTTGGAAGGCAAGGTACCATTAAGAGTTCTGTGCTAGCCTCTTTAAATCTGTCATGTTTAGATGCCTAGGGAAGTGGTAAGAAAAACCTTCCCTTCCTTGAGTGGATATGTGGGAGAGTCTACATCAGGCTACCGCTGGCTTCTATCTATCCCTCTTGGTCCCTGCTCCTGGTGGCTTACCCTCCACCATTCCAGGGTAGCCTGATGGAGCCTATGAAACTGTAGCTTTACAGAAGCCATGCAGAGTATACCCATGAAACTTGTGTTTAAATTCTCATTCTGAATATGTGCTTTATTGCCTATAATCTTTCACTAGTCATCACACCCCTATTTCTGCCTCCCTCTTCCACCATTCTTACCCCAATCTCTCCCTCTTACTTATTCTTGCTTTTCACACACTGGACACATATTTGAGAGCAGGCCACTGTTATCATGCCCTGACTACCCCCCCCCATCCTTACACATATCCACATATATTTTACCAGGACATTCACTAGCTTTTTCATTTGCTTTGATGCCATCCCCCCCCCCACACACACACATACAAACACACATATGCTGTCTGTTTTCCAGTTTCTGTCAGTGGTTCAAGGATGGTTGATGCAGTCCCACACCCTGTGTGATTTAGATATTGCCTTTGCCAACCATGTAGCCTCCTTCCCTCTGGAATGCCCACAGCCTCTTTGTATTTGGTGACACTAACACTGTGTAATGAACAAATGGGACATCCTTAGGGCATGTGATTGTGGAAACATTAGCATTGCTCCTTCTTGTCTTCCACTCTAGATCTATTGGGGACAACAACCATTCACCTGGACTTATTTAGGAAGCAGCCAAATGGCCCACAGACCTTCAGACTGATCAGCGGGACAGGGCCTGATGGCTTTGTTTTAGGCTCAGTCACTGCAGAGGTATGATAGTGTGTTCTTTCCTGCTACAGTCCTGCCTCCTGACTGCCTGGGCTCACTGTGCCTCCACATGACATGCTAACTCACCCAAGAGGCCCTGTTCTCAACATGGGCTTCAGGCTCAGGTGAACACATTTTGCCAGGACTGGCTTAAACCGGGTACTGTAGGAGATGACCTTTTCCAGTGCCATCTCAGCTAACCCAGCTGTCCTCCTTCTAAAAATTCCTTTGCTGGGTCATACTCAGAGTTTGATGAGTTTGAGGTTGGCTCTCCTGGGTCTTTGCCAGTCCAGCGATAAAAAAATAATTAAGTAACATGGGTGAAGAAACTAGCAGTTATTGGGAGGTAGGGAGGGGCCAGTGTACTGCTGCTAGTATCTAGAGTTCATATCTGCAGGTCCACAACTGTAGCTTGCACCAACCAGCCTGAAAATATTCAGGAAAACAAAAAATCAAAAAACACCCAAACTGCACCATACTGAACATGTATTTTTTTCTTATCATTATTCCTTGAGCAGTACAGAAAAACAGCTTTTCTCTTGCATTTGTATCATATTTGGTATGATTGAGAGGTCATCTAGAGGTTGTTACTGTACCAGGAAAAGACAGGGTTATTCTGTGTTCTCATGGTACCATGTTCTGTGAGGGACTCCTGTGTGTGGGTGTTAATCTAGTGAGTGTGGGAAGCAGCTGTCCATGGAAAGCCCTGGGTCCACTGTGTTTCAAAATAAATATCTATCTTTGCCATAGTTTTCTTACATAGAACCTGGTGAGCCGAAGTCTTGGCCATCTCTTCCCCCTGTTTCTGCTGCAAAGATAGAAAAGGACCGTACAGTCATGCCATGTGGGACTGTGGTCACCACTGTCACCGCTGTGAAGACCAAACCTCGCTTTGACACTGGGAGGGCATCCCCACTGAGCTCAGGTGAGACCAGAGGCAGTGTCATTGCAGGATCCACAGGCCACCAGCACTATGGGCTAAAGCACCAAGGCTTAGCAAAGAAGTCTGGTGGCACAGAAAAAAAGAGGGGTGGGAGGAAAGGTAGGGGGAAGGAGGGAGCCATAGGGGAGGTAGGAGAAGGGGAAGAAGAGAGGGGCAGAAGGAAAGAGAGAAAGAGACAGAGACAGAGATAGAGACAAAGAGTTGAGGGGCAAGGCAGGGTTCTTCCTGGCAGTTAAACTAAAGTTACAGTCTGGATTTAAGATTCTAGCCACCTGGGATTCAATACTCGACCACACTCATGATCGTTAAAAAATATAATACAGGTAGTTGAATGTATGTTAAATACCACTGATAAAGAGGCATGATGTGAGGCTGAGGATGTGGCTCACTTGGGCAGCATTCACTTAGCATAAATAAAGCTCTAGATGGATCCTCAGAATTTTATCAAATAGACATAGTAGCACTCATTTGTAATCCCAGCATTGGGGAAGTGGAGGTAGGAAACTCAGGAGTTCAAGGTCATTCTTGCTTAATATGAAATATTATTCCAGCCTGGGATATGTGATACCATCTGTCTAAAAAAAAAATTTTAATGGGCGCAGCACAAACCTTCCTATTGCAATGTAGCTGGCCCCAGGAAAATACATTGTTAATTTACTGGTATATTGTTTCTATTTGTGTAAAGGAACCATCTTCCCAAAGTAGCTCCACAGTTCACATGAGAACTCCAGTTTCATTAAAATGGCTCTGAATTTTTACTCCAGTCTAGACTCTCAGCCTTACTTTTGACAACACAGTGAAAGAAGAAAGAGGGTAGAAATCTTAAAGCCTACCCTGGCCAGTTACAACTGCAGGGCCACAAGGTGCAGTAGGGGTCTCCTCTCACTTTCTAGAATCTTCTGCTGAAAATTTGCATGCCCTTACTGACGGAGTCTTGTTCTTGCAGAGTCCCCTGTGAGGACACCCATCAAGGTGAAGGTCATTGAGAAGGACATCTCTGTCCAGGCTATTTCGTGCCACAGCACCCCTGTCAGCAAGACATTCTCCTCTTCAGACACAGGTAAGATGTGATCTGTTCTGTATCTCTGCACTTCAGAGTTTTAGGAGTAAAGGTTTCCTCCTCCTGCCCCTTTGGGGAGTCTTTGGTTTAGTGGCAAATAGAAAATGAAAAAGGAGCCAAGAATGCCAGGTAAAGTAAAGATAGAGGACAAAGCTGGGTCTCTGCTAAGTCTGTGGAGCACTTTAACAAAATAAGCAGGTAGTGAGGGATCCCACTTTGTAACTTTATGAAAGTTATCTTTCTTATCATTTGGCACATGGGTGGTGTCAATGCCATTGCATAAGCAATGTGGGCTGGATGCTGTGCTTTGTTCAGACAGCTCAAGCATTTAAGAGTAGTCTTCTGAGTTCTATAGGTGTTTCTTTTAATTAGTTTTACATAGCTGCAACCAAACAGCTGACAGAAACAGCTTCATGGTGGGAAAGCTTATTTTGGCTCCAGTTTCAGCCCATCATGGCGGGAAGGGAGGCATGCCAGTGTAAACATGTAATGGAATCAGTATCACGTTAGACCAGGGCTATTCCCTTCAAAGGCCTGTCCATAGTGTCAGATGTCTGCCAGCTAGGCCTCACCTTCTAAAGGTTCTACAGCCTCTTAAAATAGTGCTATTGGCTGGAGAACAAGTGTTCAGAATATGAGCCTGAGGGAGACATTTGCTATCTAAGCCATAATGGTATCACATCCTGTCTCCAGAGGTTCCTAGTCATCTTATAAAGCAAAATGCATTTAGTCCAACTTCAAGAGTCCCCATTAAGCTAACCATTCCAACACAGTTCAAGGATCTAAATCTAGATTTTTGTTTTTGAGGCTCAGGGAAGTCCCTTAGCTGTGAGCCCCTGTAAAATCAAAAGGAAAGTCATATATTCCCAGATTGCAAGGGTACAGAGTAATTGTGCCCACTCCAGAAGAGAGAAATGAGAGAATGGAAGGAAATCTTAGACTGGGGGGGGGGGGGACTGAATCCCAGCACGGCACTGAGTGCTGTAGCTTTGTGTCTGGCATTTAATGCATGTGGCGGAATAATCCGAGCACCAAAGACAAAGGGAATTCCACTCCCAGAGCCTTGCTATTTGCAGCCCATGTGACCTTTCTGGGGCTAGCTCCACTCATTACCTACAGCTTTCCTTGGGACATGCTCCATGATCCCGGCTGTAAACATCCTGGGGTCTCTACTGCAGTTTAGGCTTTACCTTCCCAGATTCTGCCCAATGATATGCTCCCCACAGGAAGGAAACCCAACCTTGAATGCACATTACTTGGCCTCACAAGCTTTCCTTAATCTAAGTGCAACCCTTCCACAATCTCATGACTGCATGCCTGAAAACCTAGCACCATGTGGATAACACTGATTTGCACAGATCACTTGATATTTGGATAGACGTTCTTGTATCATGACAACAGTGGCTTCTGAGTGCCCAAGTGGAGGAACCTAAGCAGCCACATTCAGCCCCTGCATCTATGTCTTTTGAAGGACATACCTTTCAAATGAATGTTCAGTTTATATGTTAGGGCCTGTGATGTCAGGGGTCTCATCAATTCCTGAAATTCCCTGAGAGCATCCTTCCTACATCCCAGTGCAAACTACTTGACTTCTTCCTAATGGTTGTTATTGAGAATAACTATGGACACCAGTCACACTTTCTCTGTCAGCTTGAGATGTTCTTCTTTCCTAAACAAATAGTTTATTTTTCATATCTTTCTGCTCTAATTTATATTCTCAGACTCCACTGTAATCTTGGCTAAAGCAGCCAGTTGTAACTATGACATTGCTTGAATGCTGTGCTATGCATTACTTTGAATTCAGCCTCTTTATAATTTCCAGAACATAGGTAAAATATAGGTAAAATGTAACACAAATGGTCTCATTCTGTTCCCAAAAGAGTCCTTGTTCCCATCCCAAACTTCAGGAGCTCAATCTCACTACATTTCTCTCAGCATTCAGATCTTCCACATACCCACAGGAATGGGCCTAAGGTCTACTTACAGTATTCTAGAACTTTTTCTTCCTTTTTAAAAGATAATGCTTTTATTTATTTCTTGATGCAATGTATCTTGGTCATATCCACCCACAATACCCCAGTCCCTCTCTTCCCAGACTTCCTCCAATACAAACCCCTCCTGCCCTCATGTCTTATTCTTTTGTTATAAACTCCTGAGTCCCTGCATGTATATGGGGCCATCTACTACCAGTGACTACCAGTCACTACCAGTGACTACAACCTCTGAAGAAAAATGACTTCCCCTCCTCCAGCAGCCATCAGCTACAGTAGCCCTTCAGCTAGGAATGGGGCCTATGAACCCACCCATCATGTGAAATGTTGACTTGTTTGATCTTGTGCAAGTAATTGCTGCTGCTATAACTTTGAGAGTATAAAGGCCATTTTGTATCCAGAGGACAATATTTTATAGCATTCTTTCCTAGCCTCTAGCTCTTTTTTCCTCTCCTTCTAGAATGTTTCCTGAGCCTTGGGGAGGTCATTTATTTTCAGAATTTTTAATGAGTCTCTGCATTGACTGCTACCAAAGAGGGGCTTTCCTGACAAAAGTTAAGGTCAACACTAATCTGTGGGTATATTTTTATCACTATGACAAAGGAACCTGACAGAAATAGTGAAATGGAGAAAAGGATTGTTTTGGCTCTCTGTTTCAAGAGTAAATGCATGGTAGCCAGAGTGTGTGACAGAACCTGTTCACATCATGGCTGACCAGGAAAACAGAGAGGAAATTCTGGAACCAGGGCCTGGGCTATAATCTTCAAAGGCATCAATGATCCATCCTTAAAGGTACTCTAGCTTCCAGAGTAGCACCACCATCTGGGGAGCAGACCCTCTAAACACTTGGTCTATGGTTACATTTCACATCAAGCTGTAACAGTACCCAATTCTCCAATTTTAGGATTGTTTTCAGATAATCAACATCTCAAAGAGACATCTACCTGTGTATAAGTCAGTGTGGGGACCTGAGTTTTATCTCCAGAATCCACCAAAAAGTGGGAGTGGCCTACCGAGCCTATAAGCTCAGCTCTGGGGCCAAGTGTATCACTGGAGAAATCAGCTTGTGACCTGTTGCCTTGACTGATGTCCTGCTCCTAAGTCAGTTTTGTCCTGGTTACTTCATTTGCTTCTGTAGTTCTGAAAACAGATTCTGGGACCTGTTCATGTTATGCAAGTGCTCTCTCATTGAGCTACCTTTTTATCCTATTTAATTTTGCTTTAGCGGAAAAGTATAAGCTATAAGTATAAGTTCTCAGAGAGAGAAGACTCATTAAGCATCTCTACTTAGCTACCTGCCTGATGGCCCGGCATCATTTTCCTTGTCAAGCGGAGATTTTTTTTCATTTTTCTTTTACTGTCCAGGTTCTTTACTTCTTTTGTACATTAGGTCATGTATATGTGTGGAATAGACTGCAGCAGCTCCTTCCCATTAGTTCTCACAAAGTGTGCTCCTGTTGGTGGCAGGGAGGTGCAGGCTGGCACTTCAGCTGAACCAGGAGCCCTTCTCTTTGGCCTTCTTCTTGTTGTTCTTCTTCATATACTTCAGGAAGCTGTCCCTGCTCTTTGAGTGCTCAATGGGCTCAATGCACACACTGATTCTCCTGGTGAGACTCAGGCCCTTACCCTGCTTGTTCACAATGATGCCCACGGCACGCTGGGTCACATTGTAGACTCTTACAGTTTTGCCATGCTAACATTTATGGCATTCCTTTTTGAACACTGCCCATTCCCTTGATGTCTACAATATCACCATTTTTGTAGATTCGCATGTATGTGGACAAAGTAACAACTCCATGTTTCCTGAAAGGCCTGGAGAACATATGGCCAGTGCCCTTCCTCTTCCCCTTTGTGTTCGTCATCTTGGTGAGTTACTGCAAGATGGCTGCTGTGGCAGAAAGCCAAGTGGAGATTTTTTTTTTAAAGAAAGAAAACAAAAACCAATAAAGAACTTGCCTTATGGAGCTAAGGAGTAAGGAAATGAATAAAACATTCAGGCCCTGTCAGTAGTACTTGGTAAGTTTATGACACAGGAAGGGCCAGCTCTTAATAGCTTTTATTGACTGTCCTATGTCAGCCACTTTGGGAGGGAGAAGGAGTTATATGTTAAAATTTTCCCAATGTTTAAAGATTTCTTTTCTATTATTTCCTCTTTCTTCTTCCTTCCTTCCTTTTTCTTTCCTTTGTGTATGAGAGAGAGATAAAAAGAGAGGGAGAGAAGGGGGAGGGAGAGAGAGAAAAGGAAGGAGAGAGGGAGGGAGAAAAATATATGTAGAGAGAAAGCAAGCATGTATGTGAAGGTCAGAGGACAACCTGCAGGAGTCTGTTCTCTCCTTCCACTACTCGGTCCCAGGGATCAAACTCAGGTTAGATCATCAGGCACAGCACCTTTATTCACTATACCATCTCCTCTGCCCACGATTTATTTATTGTTGTCTGCTGCCTTTTGCCACTTTGCATAGCCCTCTTGAGAAAAAAGTATCAACTTATAAACAGTAAAACACATTAGTCTTAAACAAATGCATCAACAAGTAGCTCCTAACTAACAGGAATCAAGTTGTAGATGACAGTAGCCTTCCCTTGTTTTTTAATATAAAGTTTAACCAGAACCAGGCTTTACCTGTTCATTTATATGTGGCTCCTGATGCTTATGTCTATAGGGAGATTAGTTGCAAAACCTCAACCCCTTCTTTTCTCCCTCTTTCTCCTAAATATTTGACAACTACTGTTTATAGACTATTCTTGCCCCCTGCTCTGGGAGTTCCCTAGGAGGTTTTAAATTTTGCTACTGAACTCAATTCTACCTTCTTTCTGGTAGAACTGTTGGTGCTGAATGGCTCAGATCCTGTGGCTGAAGTTGCCATTCAGCAGCTCAGTGAATCCTCAAAGCTGAAATTGAAGTCCCCACGGAAGAAAAGTACAATCATCATTTCAGGGATCTCCAAGGTAGGTGAGGGCAGCAGCAGGAGGTGGGAATCTATCAACACAGCACACCAGTACCTCATTCATCCAGAAGGTCTCCTCTTCAGAGCCCAGTACAGTTCCTTCTCACCAGAGAGTTATTTACCTCTGGGACCACAGTAGCCCCTTGTCCTGTTGATACAGAAAGGTAGCAGATGTCTGCTTAGTGATGCTCTGAGACTTGAGAGTTTGGTGAGTTATTTCTGAAGTGATTACTAAGACAGAAATAATTTTAAGACATGTAAGACACCCCCTGTGGTGCAGTTTGCACCTAGCTGCCTCCCAGATTCACTTTTTCCACATTATTCATTTCTAAAACATTTAAATATTTTGCAATAAATATGTGCATTTCTTTCTGTTGTCTGATAGAAATAAAGGTTATTCTAAAGACTGTTCCAGTTCAGTTCCACTTTTCTTCCACTCTGTGCTATCTTTGTGGAGCAGAGGGTGGGTATGAAAAGCCTGTGATGGCAGCCATGCCACTGGGCTGCAGAACAGGCTAGATCTTCAGTGCAAGAGGTGGTACAAGAAATCCTGGTTCTTTATAGACATTTCCAAATATGCAGATGGAAAGAGCGCTGCAGTGAGTGACAGATTAGGTTGTTGTGGCAATGACTAGGGAGGATGGAGTAGATCTTACAAGATCATCAAGAAGGTGGGCAGGAGAGCACGCTAGAAATCACCCTCTCAGTTGCTGGCAGGTGCCAGTGGTGAGTCACCATAGGTGGCGGTGGGCCTTGGGCCCAGGACTCCAAGAGAGACTCCTGAGTGTCCTTTAAATACTAAGGCAGGGGATTTCACTTTTTGGGCTGGCCTCTTCAGGTGTGAGGGGCAGATCTCTGGGGCCAACAAGGCCAAATAGCAGAAGCTTTTACTCACTCTGGGTTAGATAAGTAAACAAGGTGAAGATAACCCATGATCACCTGCTCTCTACTTTCTGGCTTTGCTTTAGAATTTTCAGCTAATCTTTACATTTAATATCTGTAAGACAAAAAAAATCTGCAAGACACTCCAATTATTAATTTTATTGACATGCAGACAGTTGTATTGATAGTCATCAGGCACTTCTGTAAACTGGTTAATCTGTCAATTGCCACTTGGCAAAACTTTGTCTGTCACCCAGGTTGAACAACATGGCTGCTGTCCCTTTCAGTCACTCCTGTTGAAACACTGCCCCAGCTTTCTACCTTACCTATTGTTTATTGCCTATAACTTTACAAACAAATACAGTCCTTAAAAGAATGCAACATCTTCTGATTAATTTCTACTTTGAGACAAAAAGAAAGTGCTTAATAACAAAGGTATAAAAGACGAAACCTGTGCCCATGTTCTTCACTGCCCTACACTTTGTCTACTTTGAAGAAAGTGCTGGTCCTTGCCACTCACCTTCTGGGGCTTCCATGCTGATAGGTCTACAGTGGGAAGGGTGCCGTCTCTTCTCCACCCCTCTCAGCCTTTGCCCTCCAGACTATGTCTAGATGCCTCATAGCTCTGAGTCTCAGCTAAGATGGAGACCTATTTTACAAGCATCTACCATGTAGCATAGGGGACTTGTTGGGGCTAGCTGTCCCTGCTATTTCTTGATATTTCTAGTCACAGTACCTTGGAAGGCAATATTCAGGTTGAGCCAAACCCTCCCTGCCTACCATGAGCTCTTCTTGTTACATCCCTGGGGTGGCTTTTCATTTGCTTTCACCCTCTGCTGTACATCTCCCCGACAGACCTCACTGTCTCAGGACCACGACGCTGCCCTCATGCTGGATTATGCAGCTTCTATGGACAGCACCAACCAGGGGGATGCCCCATCCGCTTTGTGCCCTGCAGAGGCAGCTATAGCCTCTGCCACCATCCCACCTGAAGAAGATGAGCCAGCCCAGGCCCTACCTGCCCTCCAGCCTAGAGAGCATGATCTGGACTCCTGGGACCTGGAGAAGGAGGCTTCAGTTGCAGAGTGGAGCAGCCCAGCCTTTCAAGAGCCTGATGGGGATGAACTGTCAGAGAGCTCCCTAAATGCTTCAGAGCTTGGAGCTATCAAGAAGCATAAAGGTACCTGTTCCCAAGCCCCCAGCTTCTCACTTGGGCTTCCTTCTCTATATCCTCACTTCCATTCTGGCTCCCTTCCTTTTGTTCTCTATGAGGCTGTTCCAGCCACTCTCCCTCCCTCCCAGCCACTGAGAGCTGGAAGGCAGATAGGAAGCCTGCATGTGAGCGGCTGGGGTCACTGTCACTGTGTTTTCATGTCTCCAAGCACCCTCCCTGTCTGCCTCTCTTCATCTAGAAGCAGCACTATCCAAGGGTTTAGAGTGTCACCAGGAGCCACATACCATAGTGGCCAGGGGCAGAATAGAGTGAGCAGAAATTGGCAGCTCATTTTATTTGCTCTTTTCAGTCTCGTCTTCTAGCTAAAACCAAACAAGATCTCACCACTGGAATCAGCAGGATCTAAAAGGAAAGAAACCCCTAGAACTACTACTCACTGGCGCAATGTGCATGTAGTGATAAGTCATTTGTTAGCACAATCAATTTTTTCCTATGAGCAATGAGCCCTTATTTCAGAGCCCTGCATTTCTTGAGCATGGGCACTTGGACCCAGATCTTTGCCTCATAGTCACCTTTGGGAACAGCTCCAGGATTTAGAAACTTCAGAGTCACTGAGCCTTACCTCCAGGACCTAGAGGCCATACATACTATCCATACCCTTGCAAGATGAGGGCTGAAGGAGGTCCCTGAGTCAAACCAGGAGTTGTGGTGGAATTAATTCTGCTTTCTCTCTGGGGCTCCAAGTCCCACTTCCCTCCAGCAGAGTTCTCAAGACCCCCTTGGATAGCACTGGGTCAGAAGCTTAACCACCCTAGGGATTAGGAATCCTGGCCAGCTGCTTCTGTTAGGACCAGGTGGGGGTCTCCTGCTGGGTGCAACACAGCAGAGTGCAAGTCCCAGGCATTGAGGTTGAGGATCTACCCTGGGTGCTCCACCCCTCCTATGTCCATCCCTTAGACATTGATGGGTAGCTGTTTGCCTATGACTTGGGCTAGTACCAAGTAGGACCAGATAGTGGAAGAAAAGAAGAAAGAGAGAAAGAGGGTGCTCCTGGGGGGAAGATTTCAGACTACCTAACCTATTTCCTACACTCTGTCCTTGGAGACCTTCAGTACCCTCTCTTGGTGAGCTGTGGCCCAGGGTATCATGTGGACTGTCTACTGGAAATCCTCTGTGCACACTCTGACCTGATTTTTGTCCTAGGGTCAAAGGAACCTCTGGGAAGTTGCTATGGAAGTCAGTGAGCAGGGAAGAGTAGGGAACACTGTGGGATAGCCTGTGCCCCACTTCTTTGAGTCAATGGTCTATATCATGTCCATACTGAACCCAAACCTCTTCTTGCTCCCTCCAAGTTCTCAGATATGCCAAAGCACCCCTGTGCATCCATCCAGTGCTGATTTCCTTTCTTCTAGCCTTTCCTGTTCCCACTAGCTCTGGTCTTTCTTGGGGTCTCCTTCTTGCTGTGCATCTACCATCCTTTTCCTTTCCTCACTGGCCAGACAGATGAATGCCTCTTAGGAATCTGGGTGTTTGGCACATCCTCTTGGGGCTGAAAGTAGCCTTTGTGCATATGTGCTTCCCCAGAGGCTGTGTATTGGGGGGGATGCAAACATGTCTGGCTGGTCTGTGTGTTTCACTGCTGGCCACTCTGGGATGGAGGTTGAACTTTCCCTCAAAATGCCTTGACCTAAAATTTTCTGAAAGGAAGTATTTGGCAACATCTTAAAAGTTGTTTTATAGGACCTAGGCATGATAGTGCATGCCTTATAATCCCAACACTTAGGAGGCAGAGGCAAGAGGATCACTGAGTTCAAGGCTAGCCAGGTCTACATAGTGAGTTCTAGACCAGCCAGAACTACATGGTGAGACCCTGTTTTGGGAAAAAAATAAAAATAAATAAATAAATAAATAAATATATATATATATATGTATGTATGTATATATATGTATGTATGTATATATACACACACACACAGATGCTCAGTGAGTAAACTGTTTGCTGTACAAGAGTGAAGAACCAAGTTTAGATCACCACCACCTATGCAAAAGCATATATACCTGTAATACTCCTGCTGGTGGGGGCTGAGAAGAATCCATGGAGCTCTCTGGCTAGCCAGACTAGCCAGTTGGTGAACTGCAGGTTTAATGGGGTTGTTCTGTCAAAAACTATAGTGGAGAATAATGGAGAAAGAGACCCCACATTGACCTCTGACCTCCACGTACAGGTGAGTGCATTTATACATACCTCCCTCCACACACACTTAGTTTTCATACTGAAGTTTCTAGAAGCTTTGTACTTAGCGTGAGAGGTTGGCAGAATCTTAACTAGGTCTAAGCTGGCTTGCTAAACTGTTTTTATTTTGTGTTAGTTTTTTTTTAAACTAGTGCTACAAGAAATGGCTTGGTGGGGTTTAGCTTTATTTGTTTGTTTGTCTGTGTGTGTGCTTATCTGTTTTCTGTGTATGGGTGCTTTGTCTGCATGGATATCTGGGCACCACTTGCATGCCTAGTGCCTGCAAAGGCCAGAAGAGAATTTCCCATTCCCTGGAATTGAAATTATAGGTGGTTGTAGGCCTCCATGTGGGTGCTGGGAATAGAACCCAGGTCCTCTGGAAGGGCAGCCAGTGCTCTTAACCTCTCAGCCATCTCTCCAGCCTCCAGGGTTTGGTTTTAAACTAAAGTCAACACACATTACTTGCAGACCACTTGTTCCTGCTCGTATAGGGAGGAGAATGGTGGAGGCTTTGGAAGGCACTCATGTAACTGAAATTCTCCTGGACTCTCACCATGTAACTAGAATTCTTTTGGAATTTACAAATTATGATACTTTAGCCAAAACATAAAATTGATTCCCCAAATTCAGATTTAAGTTCAAAAAGTGTTGGCAGAACTGGGGATGTAGCTCAGTGGTAGAGTGCTTTGTGTAGCATGTATGATGTACTGGGTTTGTTCCCAGCACTTGGGGAAAAAAGCTACTGCTGCAATTGAGTGACAATAAGCCACTGGAACTGTGCACTTAGGTCTAGGTCGTAAATCTTACCCTATCTATATTCATCTCAAAGGCCCTTAGAGAAATATAAGAAAAAACTGGAAAGAAACGTTGCCAAATATCTTTCACGGCAACCTTACATGTTTCCATATGTGTGCATGTGCACAGTATGTCATGAGTGTTAGTGCACATTTGTGTACATTTGGAAGTACATTTGTGTGAGAGCATGTGTGTTTGAACATGTGCTCCTAATACATATGCATGTACATGTATGTACAAGTATGAATATCAATATGCATGAGTCCATGTTCACATATGCATATATGCACATGTATGTATATAAATGTGAGCATGTAGTGTGTATGAGCCTGTGCTTATGTGTGCATGTGTACAAGTGTGAGCATGTATGTGCATGAGCCTGTGCTTATGTGTGCATGTGTACAAACAAGTGTGAACATATATATATGAGGGAGCAATCATGTATACATGTGCATGTATGTGTGTGCAAGTGTGTGAGCATGTGTGAATACAAGAAATGATACAATGATTCCAAACTAACTTTCATTCTGACTCTGCTCTCACATGCTTTTCTTTTTGCCTCTCAACATCTCTGCATTTCGTGTTCGTTCCCTTTAACTAGAGGATCACTATGCCAACCAGAATTAATTACCTACACAGTAAGTTATTTTTTGTCTTGCATTTTTTTTTTTTTTTTTTTTTTTTTTTTTTAGATTTGACTATGTGAAGAGTGCCTAGCAGAGTGATGGTTGCCCCCTGCCTTTCTCCTTGCTTACTGGCCCGATCTTCCCTATTGCTCGTTTTCTGTGTTCCTGGCTTCTAGGTAGATTATCATTTTCATCAACCATCAGACAGGACACTTCCTCTGTCCTCTGGTTTTACACAGCCACCTTGCTATGATGGCTTCAGCAAAGTATCACCTAGGCAACCTGACTGGGATAAAGGAGTCAAACAGGGGTCCCTTCACTGATTTCCTTTCTCTCAAGTTGCCCCTTCTATGAGTGCTCTTTCTGGGGCTTCTTTTGAAGTATGAGGCTGCTTTGGGGCATCAGAGCACACATTTTCAGGTTGCTAAGACCATTGTCTTCTTATGTGCAGATTTTAATACAGATTCATCCATGGTCATCATATCTGTCTGTCTACAGAAATAAACAGGATACATTTAGAAATGTGACAAAGATAGAATTTAGAATAATTCTCAAATTCCTCTGTGTATTTACTCATGCTCCTGTCTTATTTTGGGGTTTTTAAAGGGGAAACTAAAATCAGGGAGAGCAATCTCTCCACTGTCAGATCCCCATTTAAAAATTGTCATTTGCCTCAGATTTCATGTAACCATAAAAAACCCTCCCTTGCTTCTGTGTATCCATATGACTTACCATGACCTGTGGTCATCAGCTGTGCTGGAGAGCTTCAAATCTTATCCCTGTGAGTGACCTACTTCTATCTAATCCTTAGCCTCTAGAAAACTACCCACTGTCTTCTGAGCCACATTCCCTCACTACAGTGTGGCCTATAGTATGGCTGATTGCTGTATACATCTGTGGCCATGGTTCTTCCGGAATTATTTGTCCCCAGTGGTAATTATGGTGGTGAGGTTTAAACAGACTGTAAATGACACAGTTCATGACTGTGGTTCTGTGGTAGATGGTTTACTTGGTACCCATGAGATGGGAGTTGATATCCAGTACCACAAAAGAGAGACAGAGATCACACACACAGACAGACACACACACACACACAGAGAGAGAGAGAGAGAGAGAGAGAGAGAGAGAGAGATTGATCATTTATTTTAGTAATTCTAAACAGATAGAGCATCAAGGTGAACTTTCTTTAATTGGAATGTCCCATCCTCCTGACATTCTGGTATCCCTTTCTGGAGAGAGAATTCTTCTAGAATCCTGCCAGAGACCATAGCAATGCCTTGCTCTGTCCTCCTGTCTGTATGCTCCTCCCCGACACCATGAGGCATGCTTTGCTATGAGCACCTGGGGGCCACTTCTCAAGGACAGGTCTCATTGACAGTCATGGCCAGACTCTTTCCCTAGAAGCATGGAAGAACTAGACCTGGGAACATTGGCTTCAGGGGCCAATCACTCTGGGCACACAAATATGTCATTGTGTGATCTGAGTAGTCAGTTCTCCAACTCTGATGTCCCCATTTTTCAGACTCAGTAGAAACACGAGTACAAGTCTAATGAAACAGGTCTCAGCACCCACATCAAAAGCATGCTCTTCAGTCTGGAAATCCACAATATTCCACAGAAGCCATAATTTCTAAGAAGCTCCTACAAACCAGTGCAGGAAGATGTGTAGGTACATAGGATAGCATCCATTTATGATTGGTACTAGAAAATGCAGTTTAACAAACAAGCAGAGAGACAGCAGAGATCATGAGGGAGGCTGGAAGAATAGAAAACAGCTTGTTATAGGCCACAGCATGATGTGGAACCTTACAACTGGTACAGGCCTGCTGAATAGCAGTTTAAACCTTGGACAGTTACACACACTTGAAGCCTTTCTTTTTCATTGTTTTCTCCCTTCTAAATCTTTCTGCAGTTATCTTAGCCAAACAGCTGAGAAACAATAAAACCTATGCCTCTCAAGTCCATCAATCTTACACTCAAGGTGAAAGTCTGACATTTCAAGGCTTCAATTTTACTTTAGGCATTCATGCTGCAACTTCTCTTGGGCAAACTGTACTGCTCACCAGGAAGTATGAAAATTACCTTTTAAATTTGAATATACCCACCCCTGTTCCTGTCTTCAGGGTCTTCCTGCCTTAACGTGGGCTGATCTATGCTTGTCCCTTGTGACTGAGGCACCTGTGTTGTCTTAATTTTTTTTCTGTTTCTATGATAAAATACTCTGACAGAGCAACTTAAGAAAAAAAAAAAGGGGTACAGTCCAGAGACAGCAGGAGCTTGCAGCAGCGTTCACGCATCAGAGAGATGAATGCTGGTGCTCAGTTCTACACAGTCCAGGATCTCAGTCGGGAAGTATTGTCACTCAGAGTGGGTAGGCCTTCCCATCTCAGTTAATGCAATCAAGGCAATCCCCCACAGGCTTGCCCAAAGCCCTGTTTCCCAGGTGGTTCTAGATCCTGTCCAGTTCATAACTGACAGGAACCATCACATATATGCCCTTCAGACAGGTCACTCTGACACAGCATAAGACAACTTAAAAAGGGAGCTAAGACAGGATCTGTTTCTGTGCCACTAGCCAACGTGAATAAACACTGCATCCTTGGATACTGATTACTTGAGGCAGGGCAACCACCATCAGCCCAGCCACATGGAATGTTCCTTCTCCGAGATGTCCCCAGACCCTCATACCTTAGATGGCCGTGTGAGTCCAAACTTCAACATTTTTAATAAGATGCTGACTGATTTCTGTCCTGAGGATGAGGGCATGGCCCCACTGGTTACTTCTCTGATGTTTGCTGTTCTGTCTGCTAGGGTTTTACGAACCAAGATGTACAGTGGTTTCTGGCCATCATCTTCACCCAGATACTTTTGTCCCCTTTCCTGGCTATATTCATGTTGCTGGGGCTGTAGCAAAGTGCCACGAACCTAATGTGTTAAATTCTAGCTTTATGATTGTTTATTTCTAAATGCAAGCTTGAGACGGGAGTTTCTATTGAACTCTTGAAGCCAGAAAGAAGATTATGGCCTTTCCTGGCTTAAGGGGTTTGCAACAGTCCTTTGCCTTCTTGCCTTGTATGTCCATCTTTATCTTACCTATTCTGTCTTTCACATCATTTTCCCTCTGTCTCTTTCCAAATTTCCCTTTATTATCAGGCCATCAGTCATCAGACATGTTTGATTAGGCCCATCCTAATTATGACCGTTTAATTTGATCACTTCTGGAACAACTCCATTTAAATTAGGGTACATTCTGAGATTCTGGGGGATAGGAGTTCAACACAGGAACTTGAGGACACAGTTCAGCTCATTGCAATTCCCTGACTTCATAATACAGACCATAGGCCAAGCTTCAGTTCAGGGACATACAGGGGCCCTCCCACCAAAGAGTTTTGGCCCAGGGCATGGATAAGGTGTTCCCTTTCCCAGGCTTCCATTTACCCTCCAACCTCCTTAGTTTCAAATTTGGGTATTCCAGCTGCTTGTGCTCTTTGAGAACTCCAAAGCTAACCTAAAGCAGAACCCAGGAGAAACCTGTACAGACCCTCCTTTCCCACCTCCAGCCAAGTTAACCTAGGCCTTGGAACCTAGTTGAAGCCAGGAGTGCCTATGCCTAGAGCTTAGTCCTCTGCCTAGCTGCTACTTTTGATTTGACAAAATTACTCACATGGGCCAACTCCAGTCATCCAAACACTAACTGGTGGTTGGTCTCTTGCTCAGGGATAGGACTCACTATAGGAACAACAATTCTACCAGTGGCAACACCAGGCCTGTGGCTGGGAGCAAAGTCATTTGCATGGCTGTAGTTACCTTCTTTTCATTCTTTTCCCAACATTCCCCAGACCTTAGCAATTGCTCCTGGATAAATGTAAAACTCTGTCCTATCTGTGCTTCATGATAATCAATTTATTTGCTAAGGAAAAGGTTTTTAAAGACTTTTAGGCAAATTTGTACAGATTAAATTAGCTTGTCCTTATGGGGCAGTCCAGTTTCTCTACTTCTGCCAGGGTGGCTTTTTGTTTTTAGGTGGTTTTGTGTGTGTATGTGCTTAAGATAGGGTTTCTCTGTGTAGCCCTGGCTGTTCTAGAACTTTCTTTGTAGACCAGGCTGGCTTCAAACTCAGAGATCTATGGGCCTCTGCCTCCCAAGTGCTGGGATTAAAGATGTGCGCCATTATTCCCAGTCCAAGGTGGTTTTTTAAAACAACCATTTCTCTCTCTCTCTCTCTCTCTCTCTCTCTCTCTCTCTCTCTCTCCCCAATTGCGAATATATGGATGCTAGGAAGATCCAGACCAGGTCTCCTCCCTCCCCTAAGATGCTAACATATTGGTATGTGTTTTGTGTTCAGAAGCACATCCATGTATCACCCTCTCTATGAGCAACACAGGAGGCCATGTGTGTGTGTCATGGCTACTAAATGTGGCTCATATGACAAACTTTTAAGTTCAGGACAAATCTCCTTGGTTCCATGACCAGGTTTTTCTTTTGAACACAACTCCTTGAGACGAGTAGTAATGAATTTCATGGGCTAGCCTGGCACATCCCCCTGGCCTTGCTGGGCCTGGGTTTTAGGATGCTAAACTAATTGATGAAAAGGGGTTCCTGGGTGGTTTCTTTTCTGTACTATGCTTGCACCTGACCTTCAGGGGTTATTTTTACCCCAAACAAGTGCTACCATTCTGTTTTCTGTCCCATACACCATACTTGGCATCTGTGTTAACCATAGAAAACCAAGGGCTTCTTTTCATTTTGTCTCCTTTTTCTTTGATTTTATTATTTTTATTGTTTGTATGTGTACTGGGAATTGAACCTGGGGCCTTGTGCATGCTAGGCAAGTAATCTACTATTGAGCTACATTCTTAGCCTAGCATGAGGCTTTCTAGATTGAAAATTATCTACTAACAAATTTCATGTGGCTGATTCTAGTATGGGTAAATGGGTGGGAGGATGAATAAACACAATATCCTAGTGTAAGTACATAGAATGATCTAGAATTAATTTTTAAAAATAAACATTATTCCCTGAAGAACAATACTTTACTGAAAAGATGAGCCCCATGATTTCTAGGGCTCTTAGCTCGCTATTAGGTGCATGGTCTTTATTCCTGGGTATACAGCATAGATAGCCTTGCTCATCACAGAGTTCCTAGTAAAGGGGAGGGGCCATAATGGACCTCAGCTGTCAACCCTTAAGTGCAGATTCACCAGTCCTGCTGTTAAAAGGTTCTTCCTTTCACTCTGAAAAATGGCTTCCTATCATCTAGGCTGTGATGTTTGCCCCTGTGGGCAGTGGTTGTTCCTTGAGGGAGTACCTGGCTTTTTGTCTGACAACTTTGCTTCCTCCTTGGCCTGGGTTCATCCTCCTTACAGCCCTGATCACTTCTGTGCTCCCCTCTTGCAGAAGGAATCCTAAGGAGAGGCGCCAAGCTCTTCTTCCGTCGGCGACACCAGCAGAAAGACCCAGGCATGAGCCAGTCACATAACGACCTGGTATTCCTGCAGCAGCCAGAGGGGAGGCAGAAGAAGGGGGCAACCTTCAGCCGGCTCCTGAACAAGAAGCTGCTTGCCAGACACAGAGGCAAACATACCATGAACAGAGTACCCAGAGAGTCCTGCACATAGCCCAAGTTACCCCCTATCCTCACAGCCGGAGGGTGGGGACCACAAAGGCCCCCATCAGAATAGCAGGAATCAGTGCCATGAGTCTAGCTGCCCCTAACCCCGCTACCAATAATCTTGTCTTTTAAAAGGAAGAAAAAAATCTGCATGTTTGGCCAGGAAGCTTCCCTAAAGATAACAGATGACACAGTCCAGTTTGCCACCAGATACTCAGTAGGAACAACTATCATCATGCCATCAAGGCATTGAGGTGGAATATAAGAGGGAGACTTGCATCAGTAAGCCATGTGTGCTTTGATGGACTATGGATGGTAGGAAGGAAGGATCCACGTCTACCTATTCCTTCCTCTCTCCTGCAGGGACTATTAGGGTTCATGTCTGGACCATTGCACAAGGGAGAAGTATCCCTCTGGACTGTTACTATAAGCAGGATGGGCCACCTCACCTAACTTGCTGTATAGAAATAAAAAAGTGTACCTGGGGCTATGAGTATGGATACAGGCAGGAATTTTGACCCATGAAGAAATAATAATAGGAAAAGATGTGCTTTGACATTTGTGAGGTGTTTGCCTTTTACATTAGCCATAGAAGTTAAAAACTTATGTAAACACTGAATATGTCCTATGCAGATTGTGCCAGATACTTCCAAACTTACTCAAGCCTTCTTGCAAATGGAGCTGTAGAAGTTCAGACATGTTTGTTTCTCATGACAGGGGCTCAGTTTTTCTCATAGTGCAGATGGCATGCTGAGTTCAAATATGTGAGGCTGACATCAGGAGCAGTAAATGACAGCTTGTAGGACATGGCCACACATATATGGTTCTTGCCAAATACAGTGAACAGCTAAAACAAAGAACTTTTAGGGTAACCGAGGAAATTATTCTGTACCTCAGGTGCCAGTTAGTCTTAGAAGTAGAACTTTTATAACAGTTGGTCAGACTTGCAGGAATTCTTTTTATGAGATCTTTAGACTTCTACTGTGAACAAGGACTTCTGGTCACATTTTAGGGGATCCTGGTTTTGATTTACTGTGTGAAAATTATGAAGTTGGCACCTGGCTTCAATGTCCCTATATATCTGTAAGGGGCTGTCTTCATCTGTGTGCCTGGCACTGTGGGTTCACTGGGTCTCAGCAGCCACTCACTGTCCTTGGGTGGGGTGTTTTGACCTGTCAAGAAGAAGATCCATTTTCTTCCCATAACAGTGCAAAGGCTGACAAAAAGGAAAAAAACAAAAAACAAAACAAAACACCTGAGTTCTGTCACTGATACGAAGTTAGGAAGTTCCTTCTGGCATCTTCTGTTCATCAGAAATATACATCTCAGGGGAAAAGTCACTGTTGATCAAAATATGTCTATGAAAGCCAAAATTACAGAATTTTTTTTTAAATTTTTTTTCTTGTTTTAGCAAGAGAGATTGGAAAACTACATTAGAAATCTTTTTTCTTTCTTTCTGTTCTTTTCCTTGGTTCTGGGGATTAAACCTGTGGCTTTGTGCATACTGAACAAGCCCTTGTCCATTAAACTATTTCTCTGTCCCTCTTTTCACTTTATCATCATCACCATCATTATCATCATCAAGCTAAGGTCTCACTAAGTTGTTACCTGGGCTTGTCTATAATTCATTCTGTAGCCCAAACATATCTTAAAACTCTGATCCTCCTGTCTTCATCTGTCAAATAGCTGGGAATACAGATCTGAGCCACTGAGCCCAGTGGATTTTACTTCCAAATAAACATTGGAAAATGTGTGGTGGTGCAGGCCCATGATCCCAGCATGAAGAAGGCAGAGAGAGGAGGCTGTTAGCTTCCAACTCAGCCTGAACTACATGAGACCCCCCTTCTCAAAACAAACAATGAAAGTAGAAGAAAAGGAACCTGGAAGAGTCTCAAGTAGTTCCCAGAGGACTCTGAAGAGATATTTTAAACATACTTTGTCTTTAAAGATCACCATATGTTAGTCACTACAAGGTTCCAGAATGAATCCATCAATACCAATTTTTCCCAAAGGCAGTAATCCCTACCACTTTCTGGGAGTGGAAGTGATTTAAATGCTGTGCTCTCCTTGAAATACTGTTATTCCATACCGTGTGCAGAATTGTATCATATAGCTAACAATTCCCAGAGACTATGTTGTGTCAGAGATTCTGATGCTGTATTTTCATTATGAGGCATAAAGCCTCATCCAACGTACTTGGGGCCAGAAGTGTTTCAGACTTATTTTGGATCTGGGGATATCTTAATAAGAATTTACCATCTGAGCATTCCTGGATCCCAAATACAGAATTTTCAGAAATATGACACTCTTTGGACACCATGATGCATACAGAGTTTTGGTTTTTGGAATTTGGGGTTAGGGATGTTCAGCCTATGCAGGTTTTGTTGGTCTGAATGGTTTGGGCATTTAGGTTCAGTCTATTCAAGTGTGAGGGTATCAGAAGTTTAGTTTAAGCTTCCACTCGCTCAGTAACAACAAAAATTAACAAATGTTTTTCAGCCATCCTAGCCCACAAATGCTCCTGTGAGCATCTTGCTCCTTCCTAGCTTCCTGCACACGTCTCAGACTTGCTTCCTACTCCATTGAGCAGCCTTTGCCAATTGAGAACACCATCACAGCAGAGGGTGCAAAGATGGGGGCCACAAACAGGTGGCTTCAGAGAGTACCCTGAGTAGTCAGGCCTTCCTCATACTGTGAAATCCATTCTCCAAGCTGTTTATCCACTTGTGCTTTATCATGGTGTAGGGTAATTATGCTGAAATGAACGTCATTAAGACTAGGTACCAGGTGCCAGCAACACACATGTGTAAATCACCTCTGTCCTACAGACTTCACTACATTCTTTCGTGGCTTCAGTTTCTGTCTTGAGATTTTAGTACAGTGTTAGATCAATTTCTCATGAACACTAATCCATGTGTCTGTGAATCTGGAAGCAGATCTCAGGTTGGTTGGAGTGAGCTGGCCACATTTCCCCTGTCCTTAATGCAGTAACTGAATAGAGCTGTTTGTGTGTAATGGGGGTGTAGCAATAACAAAACTAGGGTTCTCTTGCTCTGAATGAAAACCTACTATGAGCAAGAGGATCTAGACAAGGCACTTTATTTTAAATTTTAGTTTACGTTCAAAACTAGCCCTGCTTCCTAGCTGTGGCTACTTGGCCATTATTTCCAAATCAGATTTTTGCTTTGGTTTTCCCTGGCCACATTACAGAAAAAGAGTTGTGAATTTTCTTCTCAAGCAGAAAGGGAAAGATTAATTTACATTGCTGCCACACAAAGTGCTGTGTTTTGGTTAATAAGCTCAGGGCTGTCAATCTTGAACATTCGAAGTACAAACTGATAAGATAGTAGAAGGAAAAATGAATCTGTCACATTGAAACAGGTGTGGGTATTGACCCTGATGACCAGGAACTGTCTCCACTATCCCAACAGGCAAGACCAAAGCACCTGCAAGGGGACAAAGACACTGTGCAAACCAGTAGTGCAAGCTCCCATCACCTTTGGCTCTGTTCTGTGAATAAATAAATATTGGATTAACCAAGCTGCCTGGTCCACTTCACTGATGGTGTAATGAAAATGTGATCATCCCTTGGGCTGTAAGCCATGGTTTTCTGCCCAATGTTGAATCTCTACTGCAAAGAGAATAAAAGTAAAGGCTTCCCAGGTGTGTGGTGAGCCTGAAGCTGGTGTATGGCTATTGGCATCTGTGACAATGATTGTATTTGTTGCAACACTTTAGATGTAGTGACATGAGATACAGTGAGACATGGCTGTGATTTTACTGACCTCTCAAAAAAAATCAATGTGTCCATGGAAAACTTTAAGCTGAGTTGTTTCCATGTTCTGGGTTGTACTGAAAGTACCAGGGGATTCTCTAATGTTTTAATTATTGCTACTCTTTGTTCCTTTGTATAACTCGCCATCGTGGCCAGCTGATGGAAAAGATGCACTGATACCTGCTTTGACCTCATTCCTGGCAATGGACTTTCCTCCTTGTGTTCCTATATTTTGTGTGCTACTGAGCACCACCCAGGCTGGGGCTAAGATTTACCATAAGACTTTAGCAGTTCCAGTGACCTTCTGGAAAATGATGAATTGTGGGTGCTGCAAGCCAGGGTCTGTCTTGGCCTGGCTCCCCCAAAGCAGTGCCTGGAATGGCCTGTGGGAGACATGTTTAGAGAGTGAAGGCAGGGGAGCATTCATCAGTCTGGGCCTTGCTATAAGCGCTCCACCCCACCAGAGGGAATAGGTACCAGCTTACGATGGGAATGTGACATTATTTATGCTTTCATGGTTTCTGGAATGGGGCTGAGCAATCTTACCACCTGCTGCAAGCATCTCACTGCCTTTGTGGACTTCAGGTTCTGTAGTCTCTTTCTCTTTTTCCTGCCATGCACACAAACAAAAGCATTGCATTTGGAGAGATGATGCACTAAGGAACCACCAGGGAAAACCACAGGTCCCACTCTCAGCCTTCCTCACTCTTCAGCTCTACTCTCAGCCTGCTTGCCTATGCAAGAGCATATGGAATGGCCAGCCACTGTCATCTGCCCTTCACGATGAGTCACTCCTGAGCTAAACCCCATACATTTTCTGCATCAAAGATGGCATCTACTATGGGGATGTGTTACTTTTCTGTTGCTGTGATAGAATACCTTAACAAAAAACAATTTAGGGAAGAAAGGATTTCTTTTGTCTCACAGTTCCAGAGGTGTTGAGTCCATTATGGCAGGGAAAGCTGGCCAATTACATTTTTTTATTCACATAAATCCAAACAGGAAGTGGGGCAAGGTTATAAACCCTGAAAGCCCAGTGGTCCAGTGGTATACTTTCTTCAGCAAGTACCTCTTTTTCGTTCTTTGTTTTATTTGAGACAGGGTTTCTTTGTGTAGCTCTGGCTGTCCTAGAACTTGCTCTGTAGACCAGGCTGGCCTTGATCTCATAGAGATCCGCCTGCCTCTGCTTCCCAAGTGCTGTGATTAAAGATGTGCGCCATCACCCCCCTGCTAAGACTGTACCTCTTAAACCAGTGGTTTTTAGCCTGTGGGTCACCTTTGGGGGCTGAATGACCTTTTCACAGGGGTCATAAAGACCATTGAAAACATAGGTATTTACATTATGATTCATAATAGTAGCAAAGTCACAGTTATGAAGTAGCAACAAACATAATCTTATAGTTGGGGGTCACAACAAGAGGAACAGTATTAAAGGGTTGCAGTGCTAAGAAGGTTGAGAACCACTGTCTTAAAGGTTCCATAACATCCCCAACTGCAGCAGCAACTGGGGATCAAGTGTTCAAATACCAAGCCTATGGGAGGCCTTTTTCATTCAAACCCCTACAGGAGAGATGGAAGTACTCCCACCCCCAGCTCCTCAGCCCCACCCACTACACTGGCCAAGGCACTGATGACAATGCCTGGGTCTGGGATTGGAGTGTGTTAGGAGTGGAGGGGGTGGGGACTATCGTCTCCTTTGTGGACCAGCAAGGGTTACTTTGTGCTGACATCCCAAGAGGGGACTAGAGAGCCAAACTGGTCACAATTTACCAGCTGTCCAGGCTGATCTCTGCTGGCATCTCCAAAGGAATTCTGGACAACCCAACTTCCCTTCTAGGGTTGGTCCCTATTAGCCACCCTTGGTCATTCTACAATGCACACTTTCAGTCCCAGCATCACCCCTATTCTATTAAACTGGGCAGACTCAGGCCCTGCCTTCTTATGAAGTAGCCACCAAGGGGCCACAAGGACAGCCACCTGCCATAGTTAGTCCACACATCCTTTCTTGGGCTTAGCTTGCTGAATGTAGGTATTTTAGCAGGTATCCCACACTCCAAGCATCTCTAACTTCCTGCCCCTTAACTAATTCTTCAGCTTTTACTCTGTTGCCCTCAGACATCAATTGTCCTCTCAGGGGCTTCCCACAAATACTTTGACCTATGACATATTGTTTGGCCTCTAAGATCTTCCTCTGAAATCAGGGTGAGGAACTTTTTTATTTTGCATGTATGCAAAACCAGTATCATGTGGATACCACCAGTCTCTTGCCAGCTCAAAAAGTAGCTGGCTTCTTGGGTCAGCCCTATAGTGGCCTGAGTGCCTAGGCAGCTAAATATGGTGAAAATAATCTTGAGGTCACAACTTCCGGGGTGGTGGGGAAGGGTGCTGTAGGACCGGGTGCCCTGACAGTGAGAGCTTTCAGTTAAGTTTGCTTTCATACTCTTGCTCCAAGGCAAGTGCATATCGGCCTCCATGTCTGCCTTAGTCCCAGATTTACACTGGCTTTTCTTACTGTGACCTGTCAACTTTTTCTCCTGTAAACAGCCTGATTTTATTTATACGCTTAGTCCTGTTTCATGTGTAGAGCCCAAGAGAACTGCCCTCTGGGCACTTTAGAATGAGTGATACCAATAAAAGTGGTGTATGGGATGGTGGTGTGTACCTGTTTTAAAAGTGTCTTAAAGTGCAAAGATGTTCCTTGTCCACTCAGTTCACCACACTACCTCCTTCATACACACACACACACACACGTACTCTCAGCTCACTACATTACCACACACTTCCGCCCCCCCTTCCCCCGCCCCATCTTCAGTCCACATATTGTCTGGCCAACTCTCATGGATCATAGCCCCTCTCCCCAGCTTTTTGTCCACTCAGTCCCTTCCCCAGGAACCTCACAGCCTGCTCCAGCAGCTCTCCATACAGTCTCCTATTCTCCATCCACATTGCTAGTTACCCGCTCCCCACACAGGAAGGCAATAATTATCCTCCATCTCTGCAACCACGCATCTCTGTCCCGTCCCTGGTTTTCTCAATTCACGCAGCCGTTTCCTAGGCTCATTGTCCACAAAGCCCCAGTCAGCTCCCACTCCACGGCTCTCAGACCACGCAGTCCGTTATCCCTAACTCCCTGTCCACGCAGTCCGTAGTAGTCTCTCAGTTCCAGGTCTAAGCAGCCCCAGCCCTTGGCCCGCCCCATCTGCCTGCACTGCGTACTACAACTCCCACGATGCTGCGCCACCGCCCCCCCGGTTTCCGGTGCTGCGCAGTTTCCGGAGCGGATCGCAAACTGGAGTCCGGATCCGACCCCGCTCTGCACATTCCACAGGCAGGTAAAGTCCCGGGTCCGTGGCCGCCGCGGCCCCACCGCGCGCCCCCCGCCGCGGCTGGCCGCCCGTGCCCGGCCCCGGCCTGGCCTCCAACCGCGCCCCCCACACCCACCCCGGTCCGGCCGCCGCGCCGCCTGTTCTTTGTTACAGTCGCGGGCGCCGTGGGCGATCGGAGTCAAAACCCGGCTGGATTCCGGAGCCGCTCCGGGATCGCCCGGCGCCCGCCGGGTTCCGCCGCCGCGGGCTTGGCCTTCCCCCTGGGTGCCCAGCCTCAGTCCCGCGCGCACGGCCCGCGCCAACTGCCAGCCGCGCTCCCGGCTCACGTCAACGGGCGCCCGGCCGCCCACTCGCGGGCTCGGCACCCTCCGACCCGGCGCAGGCTGGGGCGCTACGCCCCCGGTGCGCCCAGGCCCAGCGGCCACAGCCAGGCCTTGCGTGGCTACCGGCTTAGCTCCATATAGTCCCTTCCCGGCTAGCCGGCCGCCTTACCCGGTTTTCGGGCGCAGCCCAGGGAGGGGCCTTGATCTCCAGCCCCTTTGGCGTAAAAGAAAGTCCGAGGCTGAGCCATGGCTCTCAGGCCCAGGCGCCTTACTTGTCTCTACCTTTTGGTGGTAGAGTGGCAAGCCTGCCTACTCTCTGGGAAGAGGGTGGACAGGTAGGGACCAGGGCTAGGTGGAGCCTGCTTGCTCCCGAGGTTGAGTTTTGAGAGGGCAGAGGTAGGACACCAGCTCATGGTGGTCGAGCGGACGTTTATCCGGCTGAGCCCTTCTTGCACTGGATGGAGGGCCTCTTCACACATGCTCATAAGCGTCCCCCTCCTCCGAGGTGATTTAAAATGGTAGAAGCAAGTGGAGACACGTGGACCTGTGCCTGAATTTAAAGCTGCCAACGCTTCTTCTAAAAACATGCTAGAGCGGGTCAGAACCCTCAGATAGAGGTGCTTATGCAAAGCCCCAATGTCCTGAAGGCTCTTTAAGGGTTGAACCTCAAAGTCCCTGACTATGAATCTCTCAGGGGCAGTAGCAGGGACAGTACTCCCGGGGAGTGCACTGATATAGTCACTGAGACATGATTCCCTACACACCCCAACCATATTTTGCTTCAAACCTGTCGGCTTGCCACATCTTACCTGCTGCACCTGCTTCCTTAGACTTCCCCCAGAATCACTGCTTACTGTGAAATAAAACCTTTAGATTGGATTATTAAAGGGAAAATGCACCAAATTTTCTCTTTAATGGGGTTTGTTTTTCTGACTGATTAATGCTTTTGTGCAAATGTCAGCAAAGAATATTTCTCTTTGTGGGGCCGACAGGGTAGTTTATCGTTCCAGAAGACAAATAAGTATATTTGACATAAACCACAGCTAGGCAGATGGCAAATGCTTATAATCCCAGCACTCTGGAGGCTGAAGCAGAACTATCTTGAGGTTCAGAAAA